CCCACAACTCCACTGGACACCCTGTTCCACTGCCTCACCACTCTCAGAGTGAAAAATTTCTTCCTTATATCTAACCTAAATCTGCCCTCTTTCAGTTTAAATCCATTGCCCCTTGTCCTATCACTACACACCCTTGTAAAAAGTCCCTCTCCGGCTTTCCTGTAGGCCCCCTTTTAGGTACTGGGGGGTTTTAAATTATTTAAAATTATATTTAAATTATTTAAATAAATTTAAATTTTAAATTTATAAATTTATACAACAAATAAATATTTATAAATCTATTTACTGTCCTTTTTGCTAAAGGAAAAAGTTCTTGTTTCCTCTTCCATGGTTACTCTTTCGCATGTGTGGACCCTCTTAGTTTCCTCATTTTTCTTCATCATGCAATATGGAGTCTGCTGTTCTACCCCCAGTGCTTTCTAGCTCCCCCTCCTTTTAATAGAGAACTTGACCTGATTAAATGGTGTGTGACAAGACTCCTCAGAACCTGCCCCACCTCATCTGTGCTGGAAGCTGGGATGAGAGGCCTCTTGGAATTACCAGAGGCCCATAAGCTTAGGTAAGGTGGATGGAGAAGTGTCTGTCCTGGCCGTGTGGTGATCAGCAGTGTGAAGTCCAGCTGGTGACCTGGTGCTCGTGCTTTATCCTGGGGGTGGGAACTGGGGCCAGTACTGCTCAACTTCTTTGTTTGGTGCCAGAGGAAAGGGCTGAGTACACCCTCAGTGATTTGCTGATGATGCACAACAAAGGAGAGTGGCTGATACACCAGATGGGGTCAGAAGGACTGTGCTGCGCTGGAGAAATGGAGTGATGGGGCCCTCATGAAGGTCAGCAAAAGGAAATGCCACTTCCTGCTCCTGGAGCGGAACAATCTCATACACCAGTATGTGCTGGGGGCTGCCCAGGTGGAAAGCAGCTTGGCAGGAAAGGCAGCTTGGTGAACATCAAGTTGAACATGAGCCACCACTGTGCCCACGTGGCAAAGAATGAAAACAGCCTCCAGAGCTGCATCGCTGGCAGGCTGAGGGAGGTGGTCCTTCCTCTCTGCTCAGCCCTGGTGACGCCACACTGGGAGTGACGGATCCAGTTCTGAGCTCCTCAGTCCAAAATAAAGGGATGTACTGGAGCAAGTCCAGAAAGGCCACAAGCACGATTAAGGGACTGGAGCATCTGATGTAAGAGCACAGGCTGAGAGCTGAGACTACTCAGCCTGGAGAAGGCTGAGGGGGATCTTCTCCATGTGTCTAAATGCCTGATGGGGGAAGTAAAGGAGACAGAGCCAGACTCTGCTCAGTGGTGCCCACTGACAGGGGAAAGGATGATTGGAAATTCTACTTAAACATAAGAAAAAAGTATTTTGCAGTGAGGGTGGTCAGACACCAGCACAGGTTGCCCAGAGAGGCTGTGGTACCTCCATCCTGGAGAGACTGGACGAGACCTTGAACAACCTGCTCTAGGTGACCTTGCTGTGAGCAGGAAGGGGGATTAGATGATCCCTCCCAGTTGCTCCCAACTTCATCTGTTCTGTGAAATACAAGCTTTTGAGAGCTAAGAGCTCCCTCGGAATACCTTTCAGATCCTTGTGTTAAACAGAAAGGAGCTCATCTAGTTTTGAAAACAAAGAGAAGTTGCATTCTATAAAAATCCCTTTACAATACTTTGGTATAGGCTCTGAAGCCTTATTAAATACACGTCTTTATATAACACACCTTTGCTTTTTTTCCAGCGTCACTGCCCTTTTGTCTGAGCTCTTCAGTGTTAGAAATGTTTTGAAAAGATGGGTTTTTTTGCAAGTGTGAGAGATGCAACCTGCTATGATATTTCTGGTTTTCGTAAATGACTGCAAAGCATTTGCATATCTTCAGTCACCTTTTCTCTCCCATGATCCAGAACATTTGTGTAAAAGAAAAAAAGAAAAGCAATTCTCTTCCTGCTGTGATGTCCCAGGGACAAATGTTTTTTTTCTTCTGCCTCCTGTATCATCTAAATTTTGCAGCTCTATCCCTAGTGATGTGAGACTGAAAGCCAGCAGTTGTTTTTTTCCCACTTTTGTTCCACTATCCACAACTACAAAGGGTATGGGTTTCTGACAAAATACAGAAGGACACAGGACACATGAATTGAGCAAAGCTAAAATGGGAATTAGTTAGAAAAAAAAAAGGGAATTGACGTGGAGCACCTTGATGGCAGTTTTACTAAGTACTTTTCTGGCTACAAAAATGTTTTAATGACAGAAGGAAGTCTTAGTCTGCCAAAGCCGGCCACCTGCTCAGTGCTCCTGTCACCTCTCTGTCAGCAGGTATATTGCGTGAAGCTACCAAAGATCCGTCCCTCGAAACATCAAACACGGGCGATCACTACTGCTTTTGGCAGACAAGTTCGGGAATGTGAAGAGGGAAGAAAACATTTGTCCGCTCGGCTAGATTTCATCAAATTCCACCCTCCTCAACAGAAGAGTGTTTTAAAGTGTACTTCGGCCTCAGCAAACCATAGCACGTTCCACCAGATTTTATGCCCTTGATGCACTTGTTAGCTCTGGTACGTAGCTGTTTACCAAAGCATGGCGCCGAAGTGGAAGGGGCATCTGATTTTAGGAAGCAGAAAGGGGCCTCTTGTCCATGCAGATGCCTGTCTTCCTACAGAATCAGTTCTTGAGAATGTTACACCTTTTCCATCAAAAGAAAAAGTAGGCTAAATAATATCTCCATATGTCTGCAGTTGCTTTCTGAGGTACATTGTTGAACTACAGCTATTTTTTTCCCCCCCTCAAAGTTTTTTTGCACGATTCAGAATCTTTCAAAATGTACGTAGAATTGAATAGACTTCAGTTGTTAACTTCCCAAGGTGGGGTTAAACCAGCCTTAGCTCTGGTTTAAGTTCTGCTTTGTTTCACATGCGCATCCAGAGCCTTATGAGCAGAGATGCCCACTTGCATTCAACAGATACATGGTTTTAAACTGGATTTTAGGTGGACAGTATGTCCTAAATACAGCAGAGAATAAAGTCATGTAAGGGTTAACGCATGGCAAGCTGCAGCTCCACCATGTGTTGCCAGAGTGCTGAATGAACATTTCAGATTTATACCAACCTATTTCCTATTTACCTACCTTTGGTAACGTAGAGATAGAAGAAGTCACAGTAGAAGATGGTTTGTACCACCCCAGAAACTACAGCGATCTGGTCATAGAAATTCTCCGTGTAGTAGCGCCAGACCCAGTTGGCAATGTAGAGAGCGCGGTAGAGGCCCAGGAAGAAAAGGTAGTGTGTCGTGATGGTCTCTGCTTCTCCTGTCTTGCTGATCATGAAGAGCTGAGGAAGGATAGCCACGGACTCCAGGTAGATGGAGAAGGTCCAGAGTATCTGTGAGATACAAAATGAAGGCACTGGAGAGTCTTGGTGATGGTTAATACGCGTTAAGCCCTAAAGCTTTTCATTTGGCAGAGCACCAATGTGCGAGCGGGATGAGTAGTGCTTCTGGAGTTGGGGAAAATGAGCCTGCTGTGCTGGGACTGAGAGGAGACAGCACTGAGCTGCTCTATAGATGGCATGGTCTTGAAGGCTTGCCAACCTTGCCTTTCCTGCCTGCTTTTGCTGTTAAAAATCTCAACTATTCAATATGCTGCTAACTCTGCTGTCTGGTGTCAGGCTGCTGTTTCCTCTCCCCTTTCCTGCCTCAGGTTTTCCTTACCTCCAAGGGGGTGAAGCTGTAGTTCTCCAGAAATGACAGGCCTGCGACAGGGACCAGCAGGAACTCAAGGCGAAAGGAGTCATTCTCGCTGTCAAACGTTTTCCGGAATTTCACGTAGATCATGTAAACAGTGATGTAAGCACATATCAAAAAAATGACCTGGGGGAGGGAAGGGAGATGGCAAGACCATACTGTGATTACACCTTCTGTGCTTGAAGAGAGGATGGTTTTGCCAAAGTCAAGATCTTCTAACCCAGTACTGGTGAGGCCATGCCAGGGTGAGATAGTGGTGAATGATTTTTCTGTGCTGGCTTGTGGATTGACTTCTGCTGGAGATACTCCAGTGGCCGGGAAAAGATTGCCCAACCATGAGATCACACTTGCTTGAGCCCTCTAGGGCTCTATGTGAATAGGTTGACTTAGTGGTAGCCATCTGTTAATGCTCCTGCAGTGCAAGAGCTAACCAGGTTCGATTCATGGCAGCTTATTCTGGTTTGGTGGTACTAAATGTGATAGGCTCAACTTGCTCACTGACTGTGGGGAGGAGCTTTTTTGGTCAACGGAGGGCCAGTGACACCAAAGGAAGCATCTTTATCCACCCTTCCTGTGTATAACTCCCTGTAGTGTTGGCAAAGGTGAGGAAGATGGAATTGCTCCTTCTTCCCTCTGGCTGAAAAACTTCATGACTATGTACCCTCACCTCCCCAAGAAGCCACAGTGAGCTGAGGGGAGCCTCTGTTTCCGCACTGCCCTTTCCTTACCTTCATCACGGTGTTGTAGATGGAGATGAAGACGGTGAACAGGTCCAGATAGCGGGTTGTGAAGACGAGAGCAAAAAGAATCTGACTCTTCCCAGAGATTCCTGTGTGGCAGGAAGAAAGGAAGGTAAGGCAGATGAGAGGAAAGACCCTTAGGATGGTGGTTTCCCCTTAATCCCTTCTTTGGAAGCAGTTATATACACACGTTGCTTTGTGAGCCTTGTCTGGTGTGTAGGTGCTGTGGTAGCTCTAGACCTACCCCAGGACTGTCCAGAGTCTCCCAAGTAACAGGGCAGGCTCCTGCTGACACCCTTGAGTCCTGCCTTGGGTCGTGGGTACCAGCACTCAGTGGGCATGTTCACTGCTTTGGCCAATTCAGCCAACAAAATGCTTTTCTCTTCCCTCCCTTCCCCCCTTCACCTGCCGGGGGGTTGTGTGACGTGACATCTGCCTCACCAGGGAAGAGCTTTGGGATCATGGACCAGCACAAGTACGCTGATGGAGCTTAGTCAGCACTGGCAGAGAGAGGCAGACAGGCCCACCTGTTTCTCTACCTGTGACAACGGCCGTGGTGCTGTATCCCAGCCTCGAAGTCTCCTGGGGAGGAAACCATGAGCTCTGAGCAAAATCCTCCTGCGGGAAGCCGCTGCCCTGATTTCCTGGTCCAGGGATGGGGCAGCCTCTGGTACCTGCCCATCGGCTGGTAGGACCTCCGATCTAAATCAGCGTTCTCTCGAGGTCATCGGTTTTGGTGCCACCACAATGTCTTGCGCTCGTTTTCCACCTCCCTCCGGCCTTGCTGCCCTCCCCTGTGCTTCACCACCCCGAGTCCAACACCTACATGAGGCCATGCGCCTTGCCACATCACATCCTTCCAGTGCAGCCTTCTCCTCCTGGCAGGGAGAACTCCTGGAGCAGGAGGATGACTTCCCTCCAAGAGCCCACCGGGCAGGGCTGTAAGCATGCATGGGCTATCGCTAGCCTTTTTGGCACCCACTTTTCTTGCATCCCTTGCCAAGCCTTCAAAAAGGGTCTCCCTCCTTCCCCGGGACATGGGAACACTCACTCAGCAGGAGGATGATGATGGCCAGCAAGTGGGAGATGTCCCCCAGGATGCGGAAGACGTTCATGGTTCTGCGGGGGGCTCCTCTGGAGTGAGGGGCTTTCTGTGGCTGAGGGGGGCGGGAGCAGGGAGTTTTTCACCCCCGAGCCTTGACCGAGTGGACACTCTCCTCCAGCTCAACTTTTCTTTTTTCTCAAGAGCGGAGCCCAGGAGGATGATGATGGCCAGCAAGTGGGAGATGTCCCCCAGGATGCGGAAGACGTTCATGGTTCTGCGGGGGGCTCCTCTGGAGTGAGGGGCTTTCTGTGGCTGAGGGGGGCGGGAGCAGGGAGTTTTTCACCCCCGAGCCTTGACCGAGTGGACACTCTCCTCCAGCTCAACTTTTCTTTTTTCTCAAGAGCGGAGCCCTCTCTTCTGGCAGAGAAAAGTTCAGGCTCCCCTCTCCGCTGGTCGCAAATGCCTTTTCCCTGCAAGGCACTCAAGCTGGACGTCTCCCTTGCTCACTTTTTCCTCAAGGTGGATTTTTCTCTCTCCCCTCCCAGGGCCTTCCTCTCTCTGCTCCAGGCCGAAAGTTGGGGTTTGTCCCCTGGAGAGCCCCAGGCTGAGCCTGCCGAGCAGCCCCAAAGCCGGCGCTGGGTGACGGTGACGTGGCTCTTGGCTGTCCGGGAGGGGAGGGAGGAGGAGGCAGAGGCGGGAATAACTGCGCTGTTTTCCCCTTTTTCTTTTTTTTCCTTTCCTCTTTTTTCTTCCTCAACTTGTCTCAAGTTACACGCGGAAGTGTCGTTAAAGGGGAAAAGGCAGAGGGAAAGGGATTCTCATCTTCTGACCTTGGGGACGTACCCTCCGGCGAGGGCCAGGCTTTCCAGGGACGGTGCCCATGGGTGCATTAATCTCTGCCCAGCTCCCAGCTGGCAGCCTCCTGCCCTCTGCCCTCCCTGGCACCGTCCCACCTCCAGCACCTTCTCCCTGGCACTCTACCTTGTCTCCTGGAGCAAATGAAGAAGCAAGGAGAGATCTGAATTATTGGGCTGCTGCAGCTGTATGTCACAGCCATTCCCTGGTGGACCTCTGCCAGCCGCCCTCACCTTCGGGTGTCCTGTCTGGAGCAGTGCTGATCTGAGAGCCCAACCTTGGAGGGGAAAAAAAAAGATCATCCCAAGAGCTGGTGTGAAATGAACTTCACTGAAAATATTAATCCTGAATTCCTGCGAGTGGATGGATGACAAACAACATAATACATGCCTTGAGTGAAAGCAGCATGCAGATACTGCCATTTTTACAGATTTAACAGAAAGGAACTTAGTAGCGATGGTCATAAAGTTTTAATATATTCAAAACCAGCCCTGGATGACCAGCTTGGCTGGGTAAATCTTGTCCTTGCAGCCGCAGTAAGCGCAGGAAGGTCTCATGGCAGCAGCGAAGGAACCTCCGTATCGAGACGGAGCCATTAGGTATTCTTTATCTAATCACCAATATAGAGCTGCTTTAATACAACCAAATGGATGTTTTAATTTGTCACCTCATCCCTGAGCAAATTGCATCTGGCCACGGGTCTAATGTGGTTACTCAGGGCTTGCATGACTGCCTGCTCTTGCCCTGTGGCCGGCTCTGGCTGCTGCCCTCCCTGTCCCCAGCCATCGCCGGTGGCCATCTCCTCCATGTCTCCCTCTGTTGGCACGTCCTTACGTGCTCGCTTGGAGTAAAATCCTTAATGATTAAAGTGTAAAAATATTATTCCTGGTGCTTACTGAGAGGACTAACAAGTCTATTAGCATCACCGGATTCCTTTCTGAATACATTTGCATACATTTCCTCCCTGCCCATTAGTCTGGCTGCTGTGTTTTCCCTCTCTGCTGCTCCAGCACCTGCCGCACTGGGCTTTTCCAGCCGTGTTCCCAGGCCAGACTGGAAAACACTCACTTGGCTCTGTGAAACTGGGGAGGGCCCTGCCTGCCCCTGCCAGGGCACCGAGGCAGAGGTCGGTGAGGTGGGAGAAGAGAGCATTAGCAAAGGAGTGACAGGATAAGGACTGGCTGAAACTGGGTTTCCAGCTGCCAGAGCGGAGCTGCCCAGGGTTTCAGCAGATCTCTGCAAGGCCATGCAGGTGCTGGTGAATGCCAAGCCCCAGCAGGTCCGTGTAATCCCAGGACCTTTCACAGGTGGGCAGAGAGAGTTTGAGTTGTGGAGCGGGGATGGGAGGTTTTAGGGGAAGAAACAGATTTAGGTGCCGCTTTTGAAACAGATCCCCTCCCAAGCCCCTGGGACACAACATCTGCCCAGGGAGGTGGTTGAGTCCCCATCCCTGGATGTGTTTAAGAATAGGGTGGATGAGCTACTTGAGGATATGGTTTAATGGGGATTAGGGATGGTTGGACTCGATGATCTCTAAGGTCTTTTCCAACCTAGAAATCTATGAATCTATGAATCTATGAACATCTGAGAGGCCTTGTCATCCTCTTGTCTCTCCCCTCCTCTTTGTAGCTTCTTGTTTCGCTCAGAGTGAAGCCTCCTGCATATGGGTAAGACTGTTTTGGGTGGCAAAAGTTTATTTCCTTCACCTTGCATTTTCCCAAGAAGAGCTGGTCAGCTCCAAGCCACGCTGGTATTTCCTGCTGTGGCACCAGGAACTGCCGTGTGAGGTGACCATCAGAGGGACTTCACGGGAGCAGCCCAGCCGAGCTCATCCAGCTGTGATGCAGTGGTGGGGCTGGGGTCTCCCCATGGGACGTCCCTGTGCGGCATGTGGGAGGGCTGTGGGAAAGCTGCCAGGAGGGTGAGGGGCACCCGGGCACTTGGAGAAGGAAAAACTGGCACATGAAGTCGGAGCAAGTAAAAATAAACCTTCCCTCCTCCCTCTCTGCCACAACATGAAGAGCCTTGCACCGAGTGTCTCCCTGCCTCCCGAAATAATGCTGGGCACTGCCACCTCCCCGCATGGTGATGCTCTCTCCATGCATCCCGTTTCCATGGTGACCGCAAGGAATGTCGCCAGGGTGACAGGGAGGCGAGTGAGCTGGGATTTGGCATTAAAAATGGGAATTTGGGGTTGGGATTTTTTTTCTTTTTTTTTTCCTTTTTTTTCTCCCCTTTAATTCTATTTTTAGGTTTCTCTCTCTGCCTTTGCTGCTCTGGGAGGCTCCTTCTCCTGCAGAGCCCCTAGGTCAGGTGGCAGCAGCTCTGTTGAGGGCCCTTCCCCTCCTCTGCCTGTCCTGTGAGGTGGTGGCAATGGTGTGAGGTGACGGCAATGACGCAAAGCAATGGCAATGGCACAAGAAAATGGGAGAAGGAGGTTTCCTTCTCACTAAAGCATTTGTTTCCAGCCACCAGGAAGGCTTCTTCACTTTTCCTCCTGGGCTGCTGCTTGGAGTCTCCCTCCATTTCTGTCACAGGCTGAGTCTCAGTCCGCATCCAGTCCTTCTAAGAGCGTGGGCAGCCCCCAGGATTCACTCCAGAGCAGTCCCAGAGAGGGAAGCGATTCAGCATCCCCAGAGCGGGTGAGCTTCACGGGCTACCTCGGTCACTCACCATCTCTGCCCCTGTGACGGGGGCAGCTCAGACAGGGCAGTTGTGAGGCACTGGGGACGCAGACGGGATGGCTGAAAGAGGATGGCAGAGGGAGCCTGGCAGGTGCTAAGGAAACCAAAACTGGGATGTCTGGTTTACATATTCAAAGTCAGACCTGCCCAGGGCAGAGACTGCTCAAGGGTTCATGACGGCTTAGCTGGTGTCACAGAAAAGCAGGACCATAGGTGCCCAAGCAGGGGCTGCTGGCACAGTGAAGATGAAGACGTGCTTATCTTCAGCCCTGAGCAGGAGAGTGGCCAGGCAGTGCTTGCTCACCTTCCCAAGAGTTCCTGCTTTCTCCTGCATCCACCCCTCCATCGCTTTCCATCCATCCCTCCATCCCTCCGTCCTCCATCCTTCCATCCACTCCACTATCCCTCCATCCATCCCTCCAAACATTCCTCCATCCATCCCTCCTTCCATCCCTCTATCCCTCTGCCTCCTTCATCCCCACAGCAGCATCGGGAAAGGTTGGCGGAGTGGGGCTATTTTTGGGAGCGTCTCCCTGGCAACGGCTGCCACCACCGTCTGTGGTGGCTTTTCCATAGGTGCTAAAATATTTCACGCTTCTTATTAAAGACGGTGCTGGTGGAGACGGGCGGGGGTGGTGAGTGTGAGCCACCTCACTGCAGGGGCCGATGGGCTTGGGGCGGCCAGGGCATGACACCCTCGGGGCACAAGGACACTGAGGGACTGGTGACATCCTGGATGCAACATTCCCATGTTCTTCTCAATGTCCTCAGCTGTGCCAGCTGCCTGTTGGCTGTGCCAGGGTGCTTCACTGTTCATGAGGTGCAGCTATTCATCCTTTTGCTGCCCAGAGGTAGGGAAACATGGTGAAGTCTTGGGAGGAGCCAGCGATGAGGAGCAAAAAGCAGAGATGGTGGAACCCAACCTGGAGCTGAAGGAGCTGCAGGGCTGCACGGGTGCCTGGCACCTTCGCCCACCCGGGGAAGGAGCAAGATGTCTCAGCAGCATCTTCATCCCTTTACCACGCGAAGGAGAAAGGCCCATCTTGGTGCCAAAGGGCAGCTATGCTTTGCCACGGGGGACCCGCGTGGCTCACAGGCGGTGGTTCTTGGGATGCGGACCCACGGGGCCTGGGGACAGGGCTTTTGTGAAAGTAAGTCTCCTCTCTGATCCTCAACAAGGTCGCTGTAGGGATGGCTGCAGAGGAGACAGAGGGAGCAGGCTGGCCCCGCTCCATCCGGGCACCATGGCTGCCCAGGACCCCGGTTCGAGTGTCGGGGACCAGCGGTGGCTGAGCAAGGGTGAGATGGCCAGTGCAGGAGGCTGCCATGCTCCCCATTTGCAGCTGCTTATCTGCATGGAGGGCTGCTAACAATACCCTCTGCTCCCCCTGGGGTGGCTCGGCCAGGGGAGGGCAGGATGCGCTGGCCACAGCAGTGCTTGCTGATGCTGGCCAGGGATGGCAGTCCCTGCAGCGTGTTGTGTGAGGAGGCATCCATGTGCCAGGGGATCTTGGGATGATTTTGAGAGGGAGGGTCATGATTGTCGCAGGACTGAGACCCACAGGACACTCAAAAAATGTTTTTCTTATCTTTTTTTACTTTCCAGCACAGGCCTTAACACTGAGGACAGCAGATGAGACAGCGAGATGGAAACCATTGTCACGGACCCTGCCAATCTGGCATGAGGCTGTCCCCAGGAGCCCGTCCCTACAGCCATTGCCTCAGGGTCAG